GGGTCTGTGTTGTTGGGCAAGGTTTGCAGGTTTGTCTTCTGGCTGACCTAAATTTTGATCAACATTCACAGAGGCAATACTGTTGAAGCTTTCACAAAAGAGCTCAATTAGTTGTTTTTTCATATCATTTGGTGAAGGTTCATCATCCACTCCAGGAGCTTTGTCAGGTACAGAATTTTCTATGGACCTTTTAGGACGCATGGGAGTGTTATCTTGAGAAGGGGTAGGATCTGCATGAAAAATCTAGTCAAATACCACATACAAATTTTTATATTTAAAGCTAAATCTCATTGAATAAAAATATAGATCTTTCACATGCCTTGGGAAGAAAAAAGTATGCATTTCCTAACAAAAAATTAAGGAAACCTCACCCCCATTGACACTGAAGAAACCTTCACAATCAGAATCTAAGCAGAGCTGTGAATCAAAAAAGAAATCGGCTTTACCTGGATAAAACAACAGGAACATGTCAACATTAGAAATGCAATAGAGAGATAAATTCAGTCACAAAGAAAGGAAAAAAAATATATGACCATGCAGGAGGCAAGCCAATCAAATTTAATTTCCACACTATTCTTAAATAATCATTGACATTGGCTACACTCTACAGCCAAGTTGCCCAATCTTCTAACATTGCAATAGGAGCAATTGTTCTAATACCACAGAACAAATGATTCTTGATTTAGGCTTCCTTCCAATACTGGCGAGTTTAGAGCTGCAAACGATGAGCAGAGCTAAGGAACAAGCAACAGAGTATATTAACACTATCTGACTTGGTTTTGGTTCTCCATAGAAAGCAACTCTTCCACTAGAGGGGGTTTCAAGAAATGAACTTGTCTTTTCCGTAACATACTTAAGATTTTAGAGATCATTTCTCCTCTTTTAAGCAAGAAGGTTGAACTCTAGTTTTGGCTTTCTCTACCTGTTGGGAATTGGGTTCAGAATTTTAACCAAAGAGGAATCATTTAAGCATTCTTATTAGATTTTTAACATTTTTATAAGACGACACATTGTCGAAAAGATCAAGGCGCAGCCTCATTTCATCACAGTGCTAATGGTTCCCTAGGATTTGCAGACACAAGAAAAATATGAAGGTCAGGATCAAAGTATTAGCCTCATTTCATCAAAGTGTTATGCGGGCTGAGATTAGCAATTGAATGTTGCATATTTACGTGCTTCCCCAAACTTCTTAGTCACCATATGGTTCATCCATTTTCAGGGCTATGAGTATGAGGTTTTTGCAAATTGCAAATGATTCTATAACTTTGAAGCAGTACAATTTAGATGAATACATGAATATATATGACCAAGAAACAGAAAGAACTTCAAAAGTTCATTGAGATGCAGCTACTAAAACACAACACCATAAAAATTTAGTTAAAACTCCTAACGAAGACATTTGCACAAACACATAACAAGCACATGTGATCAACAGTAGACCAAACCAACAGACACCTTCAATTAGGGTAACAAACCCACTCATAATACAATTACCAAAACAAAGGAATTAAGAATTATGAAAACCAAGTAGAAACATACCCAACTCTCGAAAACTGTCTTCTCCCCTCTGATTCTCCAAACCCAGTTCAGCAACTGGCTTTTCTACCTCGACCATCATTTCCAGATTGGGTGATTCAATCTGGACTCCAAGTGTCATACCCGGGTCTGTGCTGCTGTGAACCAACGCACAATTACCCATGTCTCCTCTTCTACTCATTCATGAAACAGGTTAAAAACTTCAAAAATGAAAAAAAGAGCTACATCTGTTTGT